ATTCCATTGTTTTGAGGCTAGATGAGAAATTTCTATTCTTTTTTTTGCTTGGGATTTAACATACATTTATAATTTGTGAACTTACGTCTTTCTTTAATTATGAAAAATTCTTAGTTATTTGAAAAGACCCTGATGCTGGGAAAAATTGAAGGCTGGAGGAGAAGGGGACGACAGAGGATGAGATGGTTGGATGGCATCATCAACACAATGGACATGAGTTTGAGTAAACTCTGGGAGTTGGTGATGGACAGGGAGGCCTGGTGTGCTGCTGTCCATGGGGTCGCAAAGAGTCAGACACAACTGAGCAACTGAACTGAACTGATATCTTTTAATCTTTGGATCCATACCAGCGTTTGTGGCAGACCTTACGGGAGATTTCTAGGAGGCTAGCTTCTAGCCAGGTGGAGACCGAGGGTCAGAGGGCAGAGATTTGTGAGGGCCCTGTTCACAGAAGGCGTAGCCTCTTCCCTGCGCTTGGCGTTATGGAGAGCCCACTTGCACGTCTGTGCCAGGCATCGGGCCACGAGTCTGTCCCTCTCCTGTCCGGCTTCACCTTGGCATCTCAGCCCTTGCCCTGGAGGGGATGTCTGGTCCTGCTTTCACTCTGAGCCACAGGACTTCAGCTTCCTCTCAGCTTGGTCGCCTCTAACACCAGGCTTACTCCTCAGACTCCCATCCTATCCTAAGTCTGGGACCAGTAATTCCTCACCACTCTGGCAACTTTCTGAATTTTTTAAGCACATGATTTTTATACTTTGTGCAGATCCACAACCTTCATTAGATGTGACTCCACTCCATCTAACTTGAGCATTGCCCTTCCCTTTCCTGGTGTCTTACATTGAAGAGTTCTCTGCCCCCTGCTATAATGTATTGAGGAAATGTGAGGAGAGACAAGTAATTCTGACCTTAAGCATCAAGTTGTTAATCATAGTTTTAGCATCATCAATAATTATTATTTGTTGAAAACTGATCATGCAATAGGTGTCATATAATATTTACATGAAATAGCCCAAGATCTCTACTCATATACATTTCACCTTGTAAAGAGAAAAAACAGCTAGGAAAAATTTTTAAATGGGCATATTTGACCTTAAATCTTAGTATAATAAAAAAAATTGGTATAAATTCCTTAAGATTTGTGCACTATCTTACACAGTGGACAAAAATCAAGTAAATTTTGGTTGTTCAGTACACTTATACTAAGAGGATTTTTCTTCCAACAGCTGATTAAGCAGGAAGACAATGGGTTAGACATAGACCTAGGCGGTAGTAGTCATCTCGTCTTAACGCTGTCGGTTTGCGGCGGGGACAGTGCTGCATCCAGGGCCTCTGGGGTCAGGGTTCTTGTCTGCTGTTTCTGCTCTTCCGTGCTTTTACCTTGCTTCCGTTAGTGCCTGGTTGCTTTTTGTTTTATATTGGTTGTTGTATCTGAAAAATTGCAGAATGACATCTGGGGCCTAGGATGATGCTGTCTTCTTCCGAAGCAAATTTTTCTTTGCTACCTAGTGCTAGGTACTCGTGCGCACCAGCATTCCAGAAATGATCCTGGTGCTTACTCAGAGAGTGAGGCTGCCTGAGCCATCCGGATAAATCAGAGCTGCAGTGGAGCCTCTGTGAGGACTTCTGTTCCTCTAATTTGGCCTTTCCTAGCCAATCCATGACTGTCCCAGACCTTAACACTTAACATCCTGCCTTCCCAGGCTGTCAGAAGTGTTCTGCAGCTTCTCAGACTGTGATACTGTGCTCACAGTGATAAAAGTCGAGGCTGAAAATTTTGGCAGAGAATTTGGAACTATGACAATGACATAGCAGATGTGAAGAGGAACCAAATAGAAATTATATAGATTAAAACTGTAATAATAAAAAAATTAAAAATCAGTGGATGGATTTAACAGTAAATTAAACATAGTTGAAGAAAGAAAAACAAACTAGAAGATAGATCAGAAGAAAATGTTTAGACTGAAACTTGAAGAGACCAAAGTATGAAAAGAGCAAGAGCAGAAACAGACGTGGATGATACAGCTAACTAGTGCTTAGATGAAAATTCATGACCTGAAATGGAGATATTAGAAGTGAAGAATGGCTGAAAATTAATAAGGAAACATCTATCTAAGGAAATTCAAATGAGAACATTAAAATAAATCCAGAGAAAGCAGAAGGAAGGAAATAGTAATATAAGAACAGAAATTAATGAAGTAGAAAATCAAAGCTCTGTTGACTGAAAAGTTGGTTTTTTGAAAATGCTGGTAAAGGTGATAAACCTCTGGCAAGACAATCGAGAAAGAAAGCAGGCATGAATAACTCATCTAAGGAATAGAATAGAGGTCCTGTAGACATTAAAATAATAAGAGGATATAAATAACTATGTCAATAAGCTTGACAAATTAGGAGAAAATTTGATAAATTCCTTGAAAAGCATAACTGACAAAAGAATACAAAAATCTGTATCATTCTGTAACTGTTAAGTTAATGTATTTAATGTATTCAACAACAAAAACATTAGGAGAAAGGAAATTTAAAGGGCAATTTTATTTCTGTTTCAGAAATTTTAAGCAAAATATTAGAAACAAAATCCAGCAATATATAAAAGGGATAATACATCCAGGCAAATGTGGGTTTATTTTAAAAATGTGAGGTTGCTTTAACACTAAAGTTTATCCATGTAGTCACCAATATTTATTAACAAAGTAAAGAAGGAAATATTATCTCAATAGATATAGGAAGAAAAAAAGAATTTGATAAAATTCAGCATTTACTAATAAAGAGAATAAAGTATAAGGATTGAAGAAGGAAATAAAATGATCATTATACCTGGATGATATGATTGTGTATGTAGCAAATAAACAGGAATTTATAAACTGTGAAAATTGCTGAATTAGTTTTGCAAGGTTGCTCAATTTAATTGAATCTCTCTGTATCTATAGGTATATGCCACATCTAAGTAACACTATTTTCAAAACTTCAAAAGTATCAAATGCCTAGTAATAAATATCACAAAAATATGCTCAAGACCTCTATATGGAAAATCATAAGGTATTATTGTGATAAAGAAGACCAAAATAAATAGAAATATATCATGCTCATGAATTGAGAGCTTCAATATTGTAATGATGTCAATAATTCCCAAATTATCTATAGATTCATGGCATTGCCAGTTAAAATCAATGGATTTTGTTTTTGAAACTGCTAAGCTAATTCTGTAGTTTATAAGAATATACAGAGGGCCAAGACTAACCAAGGCTCACTTCAAGAAGAACAAGGAGGAAGGCCTTGCTCTTCTGGATATGAAGATGTGTCACATATTTAGTGTTACCAGTACAAAGATAGATGAGTAGACATCAGATCCGAATAGAGAGCCCTGAGGAGGCACACTCACCCTTAGATGGATGTGTGAGTGTTGGCAAAGGTGGTATTGTTGTTTCCCCAAAATGATCTTTTGAAAAATGTACTGAGTCAAATAGCTTCCTCAGTGATTCATCAGGTAAGGAATCCTCCTGCAATGCAGGAGACATAGGAGATGTGAGTTTGATCCCTGGGTCAGAAAGATCCCCTGGAGGAGGAAATGGCAGCCCACTCCAGTGTTCTTGCCTGGAGGATTCGTGGACAGAGGAGCCTGGTGAACTACAGTCCATGGGCTTGCAAAGAGTCAGACATGACTGAGCAACTGAGCGTGCGCACGTGCGTGCACACACACGCACACACACGCAAACACACGCACACACACACTGAGTCAAACACTACTTCCTGCACTTAGTTTCTCAGGAAGAGAAAGTTCTGATGATCTGATTGTCCCTCAACCCAACAAACCCCCTTGCTCTGCCTGGGATTCTCAGCATCCCTCTTGTCTGCTAGTCATAAGTGCAAAACAGCTTGACAAGCATGGAACCTTTTTCTTTTGGTTAAAGAGCACACTCTTCCTGGGGCTGCTTCTAGTGAAAGGTGGCCAGAGAGAGCTGTGGTTTGGCTTTGTGAGCCCTCTAACCCTTGGGGGCATCAGGTCAGACAAGAGCTGTGTTCTAGTGGCAGATCTGAAGGGTACAAATAGGAGCTTGTAAATCCACTTGGTTAAGCCTAGCCCTTTTCTTAAACTGCTTGCTTTTTCATCCTCTATCATTCATTTACTCATTTCCAATCTGTGATTGGTCCTGCTCTATATTCCCAGGTGGTACTATGCTTTTTATGTCATTGTTCAGTGGCGGTCTATCTGTGTTAGTGTTGCAGGAGGTGTTAGGGAATTCATTTTTTGTCCTATTCATACATTCCATTTCCCTCTTGGTTATTTCTTCGTGTATATGTGTGTGTGTGAAGAATTGATGCTTTTGAACTGTGGTGTTGGAGAAGACTCTTGAGAGTCCCTTGGACAACAAGGAGATCCTGCTAGTCCATCCTAAAGGAAATCAGTCCTGAATATTCGTTGGAAGGCCTGATGCTGAAGCTGAAACTCCAATACTTTGGCCACCTCATGCGAAGAGTTGACTCATTGGAAAAGACCCTGATGCTGGGAAAGATCGAGGGCAGGAGGAGAGGGGGACAACAGAGGATGAGATGGTTGGATGGCATCACCGACTCAATGGACGTGGGTTTGAGTGAACTCCTGGAGTTGGTGATGGACAGGGAGGCCTGGCGTGCTGCGATTCATGGGGTCACAAAGAGTTCGACACGACTGAGCGACTGAACTGAACTGATATGTGTGTGTGAGTGTGTGTTATATCTTATTCATTTGTGGCTGGCTCGGCCTTTGTTGCTGCGTGTGGTGGCTTCTCTCGTTGTGGAGCAGGGGTCCTAGGGGCATGGGCTTCAGTACTTGCAGCACATGGGCTCAGTAGCTGAGATGCAGGCGAGTCCCCTGCATTGGCAGGTGGCTTCTTAACCACTGGACCCCGGGGAAGTCTCATGTTTTATATCTTACAGAACATCTCTCAAGAACTGGAATTAAGCCATGATGTCAAACACACTCATTCATTTGAACCTCTTTTCTTTGTAGGTCAAATCACTGGACAATGCCACGTGCTTTATGGACAGCGTGGGTCTGGGCTGTCATCAGCCTGTCCACAGAAGGAGCCTCTGATAAGGCTTCTTCTCTGTCTTGTGACCCAGCTGGTGTCTGCGATGGCCATTCCAGATCTTTAAACTCCATCCCCTCTGGTCTCACGGCAGGTGTGAAAAGCCTTGACCTGTCCAACAATGAGATCACCTATGTCGGCAACAGAGACCTGCAGAGGTGTGTGAACCTGAAGATTCTGAGGCTGGGGGCCAATGAAATTCATACGGTGGAGAAAGATTCTTTTTTTCACCTGAGGAGTCTTGAATATTTGGACTTATCCTATAATCGCTTATCTAACTTATCATCCTCCTGGTTCAGGTCCCTTTATATCTTGAAATTCTTAAACTTACTGGGAAATTTATACAAAACACTTGGAGAAACATCTCTTTTTTCTCATCTCCCAAATCTGCGGACCCTGAAAGTAGGAAATAGTAACAGCTTCACTGAGATTCATGAACAGGATTTCACTGGACTGACTTTTCTTGAGGAGCTTGAGATCAATGCTCAAAATCTGCAGATATATGCGCCAAAGAGTTTAAAGTCAATCCAGAACATTAGCCATCTGATTCTTCATCTGAAGCAGCCTGTTTTACTCCTGGACATTCTTGTAGATATTGTAAGTTCCTTAGATTATTTAGAACTGAGAAATACTAATTTACACACTTTCCATTTTTCAGAAGCATCCATCAGTCAAATGAATACATCAGTTAAAAAGCTTATATTTAGAAATGTGCAATTCACCGACGAAAGTTTTGTTGAAGTTGTCAAACTGTTTAACTATGTTTCTGGGATCTTAGAAGTAGAGTTTGATGACTGTACCCATGATGGAATTGGCGATTTTAGAACACTGGCTTTGGACAGAATTAGATACCTAGGGAACGTGGAAACACTGACAATACGGAAGTTGCACATTCCACAGTTTTTCTTATTTCACGATCTGAGTAGCATATATTCACTCACAGGCACAGTTAGAAGAATCACGATAGAGAACAGCAAGGTGTTTCTGGTTCCCTGTTTACTTTCACAGCATTTAAAGTCATTGGAATATCTGGATCTCAGTGAAAACTTAATGTCTGAAGAAACCTTGAAAAACTCAGCCTGTGAGAATGCCTGGCCCTTCCTTCAAACCTTGGTTTTAAGGCAGAATCGTTTGAAATCACTAGAAAAAACTGGAGAACTTTTGCTTACTCTGAAAAATTTGACTAACCTTGATATCAGTAAGAATAATTTTCTTTCAATGCCTGAAACTTGTCAGTGGCCAGGAAGAATGAAACAGTTGAACTTATCCAGCACGAGGATGCACAGTTTAACCCAGTGCCTTCCCCAGACCCTGGAAATTTTAGATGTTAGCAATAACAATCTTGATTCATTTTCTTTGATTTTGCCGCAACTCAAAGAACTTTATATTTCCAGAAATAAGCTGAAGACTCTACCAGATGCCTCCTTCTTACCTGTGTTATCAATTATGAGAATTAGCAGAAATGTAATAAATAGTTTCTCTAAGGAACAACTTGATTCTTTTCAACAACTGAAGACTTTGGAGGCCGGTGGCAACAGCTTCATTTGCTCCTGTGACTTCCTGGCCTTCACGCAGGGGCAGCAGGCACTGGCCCGTGTCCTGGCCGACTGGCCGGATGACTACCGCTGCGACTCTCCCTCCCACGTGCGGGGCCAGCGGGTGCAGGACGCCCGGCTCTCCCTTTCTGAGTGCCACAGGGCGGCCGTGGTGTCCGCTGTGTGCTGTGCCCTCTTCCTGTTGCTGCTGCTCGCAGGGGTTCTGTGCCACCGTCTCCACGGACTGTGGTACATGAAGATGATGTGGGCCTGGCTGCAGGCCAAGAGGAAGCCCCGGAAGTCTCCCCGCAGGGACATCTGCTACGACGCCTTTGTGTCCTACAGTGAGCGGGATTCGTACTGGGTGGAGAACCTCATGGTCCGGGAGCTGGAGCACTTCAACCCTCCCTTTAAGCTGTGTCTTCATAAGCGAGACTTCGTTCCTGGCAAGTGGATTGTGGACAACATCATTGACTCCATCGAAAAGAGCCACAAAACCATCTTTGTGCTTTCGGAGAACTTTGTGAAGAGCGAGTGGTGCAAGTATGAGCTGGACTTCTCCCATTTCCGTCTCTTTGATGAGAACAATGATGCTGCCATTCTGATTCTGCTGGAGCCGATTGACAAGAAGGCCATCCCCCAGCGCTTCTGTAAGCTGCGGAAGATCATGAACACCAAGACCTACCTGGAGTGGCCCACGGATGAGACTCAGCAGGAAGGGTTTTGGTTAAATTTGAGAGCTGCAATAAGGTCCTAGGATCCTTCATTAAGGGTCAGTCTTGGTGTGGTGGTGGTCCTTCTATCACTAGTTATAACTGAGTCCATTCTGACTCAATTATATGTGAACCCTCCAATGAATATTCATTGGAAGAACTGATGCTGAAGCTGAAGCTCCAATACTTTGGTCACCTGATGTGAAGAGCTGACTCACTGGAAAAGACCCTGATGCTGGGAAAGACTGAAGGCAGGAGGAGGAGGGGATGACAGGATGAGATGGTTGGATGGCATCACTGACTCAATGCACATGAGTTTGAGCAATCTCCAGGAAATAGTGAAGGACAGGGAAGACTGGCATGCTACAGTCCATGAGGTTGCAAAGAGTCAGGCAGGATTTAGGGACCGAACAACCACCATATATAAACTATATAAATGAGGACCTGCTTACTAAAATGACTAAAACTGTTCAAATTTTGTGTAGACTGCTGTTTTATAAAAACTGCTACCAAATTGGAAAAACACGGTTCTAGGCTTTTATTTATCCTATGAGACAGTCATGATCTCAGTCCATGACTGATATGTGAATTATCCGTAGCAGTTGGCTGAGTTCATTAGGAAACAGCAGAAATGAATAGATTTTAAGTGACTTTCCGTCCGCTTTCTGCCGGGGGCTCATCCACGTCTGAAGAGCGTGTTCTTCGTCCCCGCTCTCCCTTCTGTGTGTGACTGCTCTCAGGAGCAACAAGACAAAATGTTAAAGTCCTTCAGCCAAATGTATTGCTCTCCTTGGAAAAAAAGTGCTGTTTTGTGTCCCCATAAGCTTTACAGGATACTGAAATACCTCGACGGTGTAGTTTAAAATGAACTGTGCGTGTCTTTCTCAGTATTTGATAAGTTTCTCCAGCCATAGTTACTTGAGAGAGGGTATATAACCTAAGATGCAGTAAATTATGTATTTCTCTGGAAATGAAACTAATGAAATAAATACTCAGTTTTGAAGAATTTTAAAGAAGTCTCCTATATCTCTGATTCTGATCTTCAGCCTTTAGTGATGTGCGAAGTTCTCATTAGTGTCTGGTTACTCTGCTCTCAGCTCCCTGAATCATGTTGCTTTTTCCTTCTTTGAAAAAGTCTTGTTTCTAATTCTAAAAAGGGCTCTCCTTTTCTCTCTTTCTCAAATGTTATAGAAGTATGTGTGAGCTGAATAAATTTTTAAGCAACTATCAACCTAGAAGTTCCTCACAGTGACTCAAAAATATTTGATACACAATGATTTAAAAGAAAGATACTACTTCCATATGTTACTTTTTAGAATCTAGATAATAAGGCATTAAATAAATGCAGTAAATTTAAAAGTAAGGAGTGGCTTATGGATTTCGTGCAACTCGCTTGTTCAGCTGGGAACCATGTGTGAAGGAAGTGACCTTGCTTAATCTTTAGCCAGAACTGGGTCTGTGTGGTTTACTGGGGTCTGAAGTCAGAAAGCCCTGGGTTAGGACAAGTGTATCTTTGGGTAACTCCGTCTGACCCCAGATATTTTCCTGTCACAAAGACAGGGGTAGCAGTGAATCCATCAGAGGGGCCTATGTCGACATCAATGTGCAGCAGGGTCGGTAAAGCCCTAGGCGTGTGGCCCTGGGTTACTGTTCAGGCTGAGGAGGCAAGAGGACCATGCCATTCTCAGAGAATGGAAGCCACGGGGGCTCACACAGGCCGACAGGTGCCTGTGGTAGATGTTAGCCATTATTGTTTTCCAAGAAGTGAGTCATCGCCTTATATATTATGGTTTGTAAATGAACATTTTTGTGTTATGGGTACTAGCAGCGATCTCAGGTATATTTTCTGTTGTTTGCAGAAAGTTATACCAAAGAAATAAGTCCATCAAGTGCATAATAGGCTTTAGTCCTTGGGAAACCCACAGGGTGGGTTCTTCTCTCTTATAAACTCCTGGGAGCATGCAGTGGAGGAGACAGTAGCCAGCCTAATAAAAAACAGACAAGTTCAGGAAGAAGAAACTAGAGATTCCACAGAAACCAAATACAAAACGGACTTTTTGCCTTACTTCTCTATTTCCTACGTAAGTATAACGTTAATTGTCATGAGAACCAGACAAATTTAACATAGATGTGATCTGTAGATTTAATTTCAATAATTTAAACAGCAACAGAAACAGCTTCATAGTTAATTGACAGATCTAAAATAATGTTTTGAAAAGAATCTATTTTTCTCATTACAAATGTTAAACTGTAGAAATTCTGGAAAAGAAACTACAGCATATAAAAGAAAAGAGTCAGCTCTTATCCCTCCACCTTGAGCTAACCGCTGGTAACTGGATAGGTTACTGCTCTCCATAATTTTTTCAATGTGTATATTTTTTCAATGTGTATATGAAGTTTTACTTCATAAAACAGATTAGATTTTACATGTTTAAACTGTATAAAGAAAATAGCATCTTTTTTTCCCTGATATTGTTTGGTAATTATCTAACACTTCTAAGCTCTGAAGTTCAGTCACAATTCCATGCAGACATCTATTGGTTTACTTGCTCAGTGTTCTAAAGGGTCATCATGCAGCTGTCCATAAAAAATAAGTGGCAAATACCCCAGGGGTTGATACGCCAGAGGTCAAATACAACAGAGGTCATCAAGGACTCTTCTACAGAAGAAAAACTAAGTTTTAGTTGGTGTTTATCCAACTGCGAGGTGTCTTGTCAATACCTAGTTCAAGAATCTTGTTTTATCTCTTTTTTTTTTCCTTGTTTTATCTCTTTAACCTTGCATATGGCTGGTATGTAATATATATGGAATTGTTGAAATGCCTGCTGAGTAGGGAAATAGAGTTAAACCTTCTAATAATCTGGATGATGAGCCAGTTGTAATACTGAAGCATTGAGTAGTTTCAAGAAGGAAAATTACCAACAGGTAGAGATCTTAATGTGAGGGACTTCCTTGGTGTTCCTGTGGTTTAGAATCCACCTTCCAATGCAAGGGATGTAGGTTTGATTCCTGGTGGGGGAATTAAGATCCCATATGCCTCGGAGCAACTAAGCTTCTGCCCTGCAACTAGAGAAAGCCTGTGCATTGCAATGAAGACCTGGCGCAGCCAAAAAAACATCTTAATGTGAGATCTCATCATTATAACTATGATGGCATTTTGTATAAAACACATGGCCAAAATTTTTTTAAAATTTATTAAGTATAATTGATTTATAGTGTTAATTTCTGCTGCACGGCAAAGTGATTCAGTTATACATATGTGTACATTCTTTTTCATATTCTTTTCCATAATGATTTATCACAGAATATTGAATATAGTTCCCTGTCCTATACAGTAGGACCTTGTTTATCCTTTCTATATATAATAGTCTGCATCTGCTAATCCCAAACTCCCAATCCAACAGTTCCCTGGCCCCCATCCCCACTGGCAACTCCAAGTCTGTTCTCTGTGTCTCTGAGTCTGTTTCTGTTTCATAGTCTGTTCATTTGTGTCATATTTTAGATTCCACAGATAAGTGATATCATAGGACATTTGTCTTTCTGATTTACTTCACTCAGGATAATCTAGGTCACCTATGTTGTTGCAATGCGTTGCCAGTGTTTTGGCAATAGATGTGTTTCCTTTTTACTTCATTCAAGTGTAATATCTTCAAGTGTTGCAGATGTCTGGTGTGATGTATATTGGTGACTATTTAGTAAATGACCAGTGATTTAAAATGAATTAATTTGAGGGAGTTCAACATGGTAATACCATTCTTAGGTTAATTTGTTCTGACTTGTCTTCTCAGTTCTGTTAATTTTTTCTTTCTTGTTGGATTGGTTCATTTGTTCAGCAGATACTTATTGGTGCCTCTTATGTGTCAGGTGCTGCCCAAGTGCTGCAAAGACAGTAGGGAACAAAACATAAAATCCTCTGTCTTCATGGAGAGGAAGACAGACAGTAGACAAATGAGTCTGTGATGTGATTTCAGGTGTCAAAAAGGGCTGGGATGGAAACAAAAATAGCATGGCCATGGAAAGAGTGTGTGTGTGTGTGTGTGTGCGTGTGTGTGTGTGAGTGTGAACAGAGTGGCCCAGGAGAAGAGAAGGAGGCGCTCCCTCAGTCACCCGTGGGTGGGCTGAGCGAGCAGCAGCCCCAGGACACCCCGCGCAGCTCTGGCCCATTGTGTGGACGGCAGCACCCGGCGCTAGAGGTTTTGAGAGCGATCGCTAATGGAAGGGCTCTGTGGTGCCAAAGCTGCCACGGGGTAACAAGAACAGAGAACAGAAAAGACCGTGTCCTTAAACCATAGATTTAATGACCCTATTTCTTTGAAGATGTTGAACTGATAAGAGGGCATTTGTTGTAACTCAATAAAATTGTATGTGAGAAGTACTTTGCAAACCTCTGAAACACATCCCAGGTGAGATCACTGTAAGCCAAACTCGAGATGGGATGTCCACGGTGAAAGTGAAGTAAAGTCGCTCAGTCGTGTCTGACTCTTTGCGACCCCATGGACTGTAGCCTACCAGGCTTCTCCATCCATGGGATTCTCCAGGCAAGAATACTGGAGTGGGTTGCCATTTCCGTGGGTGGTACCATATGCATCACAAACGAGGATTAGAAAATGGTCGTAATCAGAAAGATGCAAGGCCTCTGTGTTTACTCCATTGCTCAGCTTCTGTTTAAATTCTTTCCACACAGACACAGTGTCAGTTTTTATTCAGTTCTCTAAGTTCTTGGGATCTCTAAAAATTAAAAGAGTATTAGAAAATATTTCAACATGCAGTACATTGCTTCTGGGGTAAGTGTGCCATGCTATTCCAGCCCTAGTGAATAGTTAATGCCTTGAACGATTCCTATTACCACGGGTTGCCAGGCCACCAGATAACGAAGCCAGTCCAGGATCTGTCCATATAAAAAGTGTGTGCGCTCCCAGCTGAATCTCAATTAAGGAGGTTACTCTACATCTAGCCATGTAGCAGAAATAGTCATTGTTATTTATACTACATCTAATTTCTAAAAGTAAAACAGTGTACAATAAAATCCCCAAATATAATCCCAAACAAGAATAAAAGGTGAGGGTCACATACTGAAAGAAATAGGAAGTGGGGAATGATGAATGTGGAAAACCAAGGATAATGAAAACTACCATTAAGTGAGCATAAACAGCTCTGGGCTATTCTGCCATCAGTTCATCAGCGGGAAGACATTAGTTCACTGATAATACATATACTATGCTGGTCCCTTGGCTGGACTGTACTGAGGGAACTTCATACATAGTATCTCTATTAGCCATGTCATACACGGAAAGGCAGACTTTTCATACATGTCATTTATGTTACACTGAATCTCAATAAGGAGTGCATGTGTTTCTGTAGCTGCCTTAGAAGAATGATGCTTGTTAGGATGTTCCATTCAGAAACACAGTTCTGTATTTCACAGGAAAAAAAGTACATGTAATATTCAAAAGCTTATTCTCTCAAGACCATTTCATTCTGTCAAAGAAACCAATTGTCGTTTATTATTTAGATGATCGTTAAGGTGACACTTATGATCATGTTATCACCCATTTTATAACAAAGACCTATATACTGAGGTTTCAGAAGTGAGTTATTAACCAAAAGCTGTTCTGGCCTCAGCCTGGTGAGAACAGAAGGTGCACGGCAGCCTTCAGCCGTGGCTGTTCTTGGCTGGGTTCTGAGAGACAAGCCAGCTGGAAGGGGAGCTGGCGGCCGGGAGCGGGCTCTCTATTGAGACCCAGGGCCCACCTATGCTGCTGCCCCTGCCATTCTACTGGCAAGCCTTTCCTTGACTTGCAGTTCTCAGCCACGGGGGCGTTTCTGCAGACAGCCATTGGTAAAACTGCACAATTAGGGTTGGTGAAGAGTCAAGGGGGCAGGGATGGGGTATCTGCTTTAGCACTGTGAAATTCAGGTGACTGGAACTCAGAAGGAATATGGTAAGTCCCCTACATATGAGTGAGCTCCATTCAGAGAGTGCTTTCAGAGTCCAACAAAGTTATCTAGGTACCCAACTAACATCATCATCTATATACTGTACTTTTAACACAAATAACACATAAAAATCAAGCAAACAAAAAAATGACACATTTTAAATCTTCCAGTACAGTACCATGAAAAGTACAGTAGTACAGTACAATAGCTGAACAGATGCATGAACTAACTTACATGACTGAACGTGCAAATGCACGTTCCCATCTCTGAAAGTTCACGACTTGGAGGTCCACACGTAGGGGACTGACTGCAGGGAGGCTGCTACTGAGGAGCTAACAGGGAGTACTTGGCAGGCTGTGGCCATCCCCTCAGGGATCTTCTGCTTAAGGGGATGTGTTTTAGTTCTGTTTACTCCCCTGGAGGAGACACTGTGTTCTTGGGCTGGTGGGGTGGAGGGCCAAGGCTTTGCAGTCAGCGCTAGAGGGAGATACTCTCTTCCTGCAACCTAAATGAGAGGGAGTGTATTTGGTCGGGGGTCCCCGCTGTCTATAAAAGTCCTGTTGTTGCCATTCACTGACCAAATCTGTAGTGGGTGTTCACTCCTTTCAACATTATTATTACTTAGGTTAGCCTAAGAAAAGATGAGATACAGCAAGGAATTGAATTGAAGAAGCCAGAGTTCAGGGGGGAAAACTCTTCTCTTTTCTGGAAATAATACAATTTGGTACACCTTAAAAATACTTTTCTATATTCTAGCTCACAGTTTGGACTTTTAAATTTCTATTCTATTTTTTTCCCCATCCACTCATCTTATCCACCCATTATTTGTCATCTGTCTGCCTATCTATCATCTATCTATCTGCCTACCTACTTATCCTTCCATATATTCATATTATCCATATTTGCAATGTCCCATCACATTTTCACTAGAGCCCTTATAGTGTAATAAGTGGAATACAAAGAGTAGACTGTATCTTTTTTGTCATTTAACCTCTTAACTAGAATAGTAACGCAGACATGGGTGAAAAAAGGGACAAGTCACTTTGAAATAGGTAGTTAGGGAAAACAGTGTTTTCTGCTGTACCTGTAGTGATGATAAAGAAAGTTTAGATTAAAGAATGTATCACCAGAAAATAATATTTCATAACTTCATAAAAAGGATACGGGTTATTGATCATCCTCTTCAAATCGACCTTCTCTTTGCAGTAAGGGCACGTCTGCTTTTTACCAACAATACACCAACCTCGGATGCAGAATTCATGAAAGCTTAGGGATCTTGTTACGGAAGTTTCTGGACATTGAAGGGCAAGTCTACTTCATGATGATGTGATGGAAGTGACCCCACCTGTTGGGTGGAGTGGTGGAGGCAGGAATGGCTCTCAGTCCTGACTTGGTTGTGTCCATTGCTTTCCTAGAGACTCTGCAGGACCATGCAGCCACCACGGACAGTGAGCTTGAAGTCAAAGCTTATGACCCTGAGGAGTTTACTGATCGTCTTAGCCTTACAGGTTCTGACCTCAGATTCTGTGATTAAATTAGACAAAGAATGTGGATGTGCTTTTTTACAGGATGTCTTATGTAAACATATCCTCACTTTTGTGCATTTCTCTGCGTTTATCATAGCATCTCCCCATTTGGCTTTTTGGGCACCCACCCATTACGATCTATGTAATGAGATTAGACAAGTTCAAATTGTTTGTGATCAAATATTTGTACAAATATTTCTATTAGCTTCATAAGTTTTTTCTCAAGTTTTTATTCCTGATAAGAAGCCAGTTATTTTGAAATAGAATATATAGAATCTAGGCATTTACAGATTCATTTGTATACAATCCCTTGTCCAGAAAGATCGATGCTTTGTCCCCAGAGTTGACAGTGAACCATGCGTTTTCCCTCAGCACCAGGGACTGAGCCTTACAGAGCCCGAGCGACTCTGTCATGACTTTTTGTGTGTTAACCTGTCTCTCCTGGGCAATGTGCTTCCTGTGGGACAGTGCCTCATTCAGCCCTGTGCTCAGCACCTTATGCAGTGCCTCAGTGCTTATCTGAGGGCTTCCCAGCTGGCGCTATGGCAAAGAATCTGCCTGCCAATGCAGGAGATGCAAGAGACTCAAGTTGGACTCCTGGGACAGGAGGATCCCCTGGAGGAGGAAATGGCAGTCCACTCCAGTATTCTTGCCTGGAGAACTCCATGGACAGAGGAGCCTGGTGGGCTACAGTCCATGGGGCCTCAGACAGTTGGACATGACTGAGCGAATAAGTGCGCACGCGCACACACACGTGCCTATTTATTGAACGAATATTTGAATGAATCATTCAAAACCAATTACTATTGCAAACTTACTTTCCTCAGGTTCCACAGCTTATAGATTTGAGTAAGATCATTAACTGCGGCTTCCTAGGTGGCTCTGTGGTGAAGAACCCCCCTGCCAACGCAGGAGATGCAGGTTCAATCCCTGGGTGGGGGAAGATCCCCTGGAGAAGGAAATGGCAATCCACTCCAGTATTCAGCCTGGGAAATCCCATGGACGGAGGAGCCTGGTGGGCTACAGTCCATGGGGTCACAAAAAGAGTCGCCTATGACTTAGCGACTAAACAACAAACGCAATGATTAACTATGGGATTCATCGTGTTGATTGACTTCTATAGTCATTGATCCCAGCGTGGCTTTCCCTGATCTGCTAAGCACCCATGTAGAAGTTCCCTCACTAACAGAGGGCATGGAGGTGGAGCCAATCAAGGCCACGTAGATGATTCCTCGGTGTTACATGTGTGTGCAACCAAGAGTTCCCATTCTTTTATGTTCTTGGAACTGGGGTCACTTTTGCATGTTTGGGTTAACATAAAGTGTATTATAACAAAGATACTGAGTCAAAACCTGCACAGTTCTTCATTCAAAAGAGCTGGAGTATAGCCCATACCCTCCAGATAGGTATGGATGGAGTTCAGGGGTCACTGAGCAACCATTGAGATGTTCATCTCCTCTTTAATATCCCCTTTTATCTTCAACATCTCATCTGAAAAGCCTTTACCCCAGCAGAATTTCTGCAGAGCAAGACTCAGATTCCCACCCCTTGTTAATATGATTCACGTTTGCCCACTCCTTGCTAATATGACTCATGCTAAAATGGGCCATTAATAATGCTCCCTGCAAAGCAAATTTAAAGGTGCTTACATTTTCGATTACATATGCGCACATGTACAACTGTTCCTAAGGGCTTTTAAAGGTGGAGAGAGAAAATATTTCCACTTGCAAATGGCAGAAGGGGCTCTGTTCCAACATTTGAAAACTAAATCATATTTAAAACTAGGACCAGACTTGGAAAATTTCTCCTAAGAATGATAGGTTTTTGGGAAATGTATCACACTGAAAAACCACATAGAATCCCACATGGGATATCTTTGTGTTTCTTACCTTAAAATGTAAAGACTTAAATGTTGGAGTAAAGGCTCCTATTACATGTCAGATGCATTTGGTCCAGTTTTTTACTCTCAGGATTAAATAAATGGCATCTGTCCAGATTAAATAGAATCAAATCATGAGTGCTGCACGTCTATGGTATTACTGACTGAGTTCGGTGGGCTTCAGAGGCAAGAGGCAAATGGTTTGATCAGCTTATAATGCCAGAGCTTTGAACTGACTGAGTGCACAGCAGTATTATAAAATTGATATTGTACTATAAAATAAAGATAAATGATGCCTTCTTTTCCCTGTATTAAGAGAAGAATTAAAATACTGATTGTTGGTCAATGCAAAGACAACTGTGGTATCCAGAGTTACGTGCCAGGCAGTGCAGCCTGCTTGGACCAGGGCTCTTGATGCCAGCATCTTTCAGCACATGGAGCCCTTTCTCACCAGCCAGTAAGGATGCTGGTTTCCAGGGCCAGGCTGGGCTGGTCCCTAAAGATCCCTCTGCTGGTGGATAGTGATTTGGGGCACAACCCATGGGCCAGGGAATCAAACAGTCCAGAACCACGTGCTCCTGTTTTGGTCCCTTCCTGTGTAATTTAAGGTGTCCTCTTTTCAAGACCAAAGCTGATACTTGGCTTTCCCCATCACCACTGTTGACACAAGCAGGTTCCTGAAAATTATTTTCAGGCAAAACACACCACAATTAATACGGTAGATGTGCAGCACCCATGATTTGATTCTGTTTAATCTGGACAGATTCCATTTATTCAGTCCTGAGAGTAAGACACTGGGCATTGTCGTTCTTGTTCTTGTGAGATTCAGACACGGGCTCTGCCAGGCAAGTCCCGAGTCCTGCCCTGCAGCTGAAACTGCACTCTGTTCTTCGCTCCCCACCCTGTCTCCCCTGGTCCTCACTGGCTACCTGTGTGCTTAAGGCTTCACCAGCTCTTCCAGCCAGCCTCTGCTCAGATGCTGCAGCTCTCCTGTCTGTGTGGCCTGAAGACTCCTTTTAAAAAAGAAATTACTAGGGGAGGAGGAGGAAAAGAGGTTTACCGCCTGATAACTAAGAGCAGTTCATTATTCATCAGGGATTCGGAGAGAGTCTCAATAAGAAAATGGACAGGAGCATAAAGGCTTGGGGTTTGGGGAAGGGAGCTGAGCAAGGCAGAAGGAAGTAGGGAGGAGGAGACAGAGGAGGAGGGAGGTGATGGGACAGTCTTCCCTGATTTTCCATCTCCCAGCACTGGCTTGAGGAGGGCCAAATGGCCCCCCATGAAAAGGATACACATGCTTGCACGAAAGCTGGTAGGTGTTTTCAATGAGCCCTTCTTCGTCGAGTTCCACAATGATCTTCTGCCCACACACGGCGCAGATGTTGTCCGACAGACTCCTGGTGGGCATCCCGCTGACGCTGTAGAACTATGGGGGGCAGGCAGAGAGCACACATCATTCTCCGAACACAGGAAAGCCACTGCCAGCTTGAAGACATGGAGGCTTTACTGTTTTTCTGCTGGTTTTTCCCATAGGAACAATGCTACTGCGGGGTAAAGGTTTCCCAGGCAAAACCCCACTGAGCCCCAAAGCACATTGCTAATTACAACCATCTAACTTCTCCACTGAGGAATCCTTTAGGAGGAACAATTTCATCGAGGGCTGTCGTTCAGAATGACATGGGAAGCTGTTTAAATTCACCCAGAACCTGGCCCTTCCCCTTATTCTCCTGAGACTCTGATTCCCGGATCTCAGGTAATCCCAGACATCTATGTATCTTTTAATTAACTTTAATATAGTTAATATTTTAATCAATTTTAATAAAATCCCATCTGACTATAGGGAGTACAAAGACTAATCCCATTAGAAAGCAGTGCATTTAGAATTCTAACTTGGGACATTGCATCTCCCCAGGGGTGTGGATGAGGAGCGATTCTCAACATTGGCAGCACATTAGAATGTCTAAGAAGCTTTTTTAAAAATAAAATATTTATTTTATAATTGTTTTAGATGTAAAAGATACAAAAATAGAATAGAGTTCCCATACCAAGTTTCCCCTGTGATTAACATTTTACATTTAGGGTGGTACATTTGTTACAATTAATGAACCAACACTGACGTGTTATTATGAAATAAAGTCTATACTTTGTTCAGATTGCTTGGTTTTTCTCAAATGTCCTTATTTTGTTCTAGAATCCCACCCAGGATACCATTAACTGTCTTATCTCTTTAGGCTTCTCTCTTTTTTTATTTTTTAGGCTTCTCTTGGCTTTGGCAGTCTCTCAGACTTTGTTTTTTTCCCCTATGATTGACAGTTTGGGGGTGGGGGTGGTGTTTGTAGCATGTCTTTCACTTGGATTTTAGCTAATGTTTTCTTCTCTTGATTATGCTGGGCTTATGAGTTTTAGGGAAGAAGAGAACAGAGGTGAAATGCCATTCTTACCACGTCGTGGCAAGGGTACGTGCTGTCAACATGATCCATCATTGCTGATGTTGACCTTGATCACTGAGCTTGAGGTAGTGTTTGTCAACTTTCTCCACTTTAAAACTACCTTGTACTTCTGTCTACACTGTACTCTTTGGAAGGAAATCGCCATCACCACGAGCAGTTCACACTGAGGGAGTGGGGGGTTAGGAGTTACGGTCCACATCTGTATCGGTCAGGGTTCTCCAGGGAAGTGGAACAGAGGATGTGCCTGTGTGTGGTCGGGGGAGAGCGGGTAGAGGAGACGGAGAAAGGGGAAGGGAGAGAGACTCTTAAAGACCTGAGGCTGGCAAGTCTGGGACCTGGAGGGCAGGCCAGCAGGCTGCTCTCTGGAAAGAGTTTTCAGACTTGAGGCAGAACCCCTTCTTCTCTGAAAAACTTCAGTTTTTGCCCTTAACATCTTTGACTGATTAGCTAAGATCTATCTATGTTTTCAAGGGTATTTGCTTTCCCTTAAAGTTAATTATAGCTACAAAATACATTCAAAGCAACATGTAGACTCATGTTTGGTCAAACAACTGGATACCAGGGCCTAATCAAGTTGACACATAAAAGTTAACCATGCAACCTTCTTAAAGGTGGAATATCTCCATTAATTATGTGGAATTTGTCTGAATAGGAGACGTGTCTATTCTCATTTATTTATATATCTATCTATTCAATCATTCATTTATTTCACTGTGGACTCACGGATATTTACTCTATACTTCAGGTTATGACCCAATACTGTTCACCATTAATACTACTGCTACTGTTGTGTTACTCAGCCTTGTGTTTCAGCCTTGGCTTCTGCGTCTCTTTGACATACCCTCATCATTGTGGGTTTTTTCTTGTGTGGGCTTTTTTTTTGAGAACTTCCTTACTTTCTGGCACTACAAAATACTCTAGGTTCATACTGTATGTTCCCTAACAAGACCCAGAATCAGCCGTTTTCCCAAGGAACAGTTTCCTTTTATTATAGACTGGTATTAGAAAACAAGATTGAAGTACTTCGTGTGCTCACTGCTACTAAGCTGCCATTGCTTCTAGGGCTTCTTAGTTGACAAAGCAAGGAAATAAATCAGTATATCCTAACCCATGTGTATACACATATCTATAAAATAGTTCTATATGCATCATCTACATTAAGATACATATAATCTATGTTAAGCTAAACACGAGTTCAGACTGATATCTTTGACTCTGATCCGTTACTACACAGATCGTTCTGGCCTTCCCTCCTTGCTTGCACGCAGCCTTCTGAGAGTAAGAAACATAGCTTCCATGACCAGTCTTCCATTCACTTGGAGTCCAGTTCCACATACATGCAGAGAGGTGTCAGGGTGTACCCATAGCCCTGAGGGAAACTTACTTAGTGGAGTGCAGTGTTTGCATATAGTTTCTTTTGCTTTTAATCTCAGATCTCCACTCATTTCAAAGAGACTTAGGTCAGCACTTTTCCCCCCACCCACTTCAGAGGGGTTATTTCACACATTTGTAATACAGCTGAATTCCCTTGTCACAATCCACATTCTATCCTGGCATTCCCTGACATCCTACATGCCTTGCTTTAGATTTGCACATGTTAAGGTTTAACCTTTCTGCTAAAAAGTACTGCTGATTTTGACAAATGCATAGTGTCATGCATTCACCATTGGAGTATCATAGAGAATAATTTCACCACTCTAACAAATTCCCTGTGCTTCACACACTCAACCTTGCTCCCGCCGTAACCCTCTTGGCAACCACTGGTCTCTTTAGCATCTCCATAGTTGTACCTTTTCCAAATTGTCACATAAGTGGAATCATATAGTACAGACTGGCTTCTTTCACTTAGCACTATATATTTACGATTCATCCAGCTTTTTGCATGGCGTAATAGCTTATTCCTTTTCCTAGGGAGCTTTTAAAACAAAGCAGATGCATTGGCCCCACTCCCAGAGCCTGACTTAATTAGTGTGGGGCTCAGGCACTGGTGTGAGAATGGAGGTTGTGTCTCTCCTTTACTTTCTCTTTACCTCTGTCACAAGCACATGAACAAGAGCACACACACACACACACACACACCATCAGCTGAAGTCACTGGTGGTTGTGCTAATGGCTTGAGACAGTACTTGGTGGTTGGAATGAGGATGACAGGAGATGACAAGATGTCATAGACTGGTGCGATGGAATCAGGTGAGGAATCTCTATAAAGCTGGGGCTTAAAGACTTGGTTGTTTTGCCAGGTTTTTTTCTTTTTTTCCTGGTCCACTGGAGAACAGGACATTCAACTCTTCCTCTCCTGTCCATAAGCAGGCGCAGGAGGCTTTGCGAATTTTTTAAAGGGGGATGGCTCTGGTTTCTGTTGGAGGAACTGGGAGTGAAAATGCTCCCTTCTGTGCTCACCTTAAACCTTACTAGAGAGGCAGCTGTCTTAGAGATGACACATGGCTGCCCATCCCAGCATTCCACCACAGAAGTTAGATTCCAGGCTCTAGAGAAACAGTAAGATGGAGTCTACGGAGATGGGGAAGGGAGGCGAGGGGATGAAATCAAGGCCTTGTCTACTCAGTCCTGGCCCATAAGTGGAGAGGGAGAACAGCAGAACAGAAGTCTAGTCTTCCCTTGCTATTCACAACGGTTTTTCCATTTCATATCTGGCTGTGTGCAAAGACACTGGTAGAGGACAGAGATGTGGAATTTCTGAAACCACTGGGTCATACCCGGAACCTTTGGTACGTAAGTTTTTAAGAGATGCATGTGTGTTAGACACAGATGGTTACTCCTAATATCTGAATCTGGAATCCATCTGACCAGAAAGTGTGTCCATTCTGAGTTTTAATTTTAAGAGCATTAAAAAAACTATTAGGGATTTTTTTAATTCCAGGGAATAATATACAGTCAGAATACATTTAGCACACTTTTTATCTCTTCTATTTCTTCAAATGCTGTATAATGATAACTGATCTTTATGATGATTATTACCCTAAGGTATTGATTGATTCTAAAGTGCTTTATCAGATAAAGGGTTTTTGTTATTGTTGAATTTTTACTAATCCTTTATTTTTATTTTTTAGATTAATTTTTACTAAACCTTTAAATGTTGGCGATTGGAGTATGCTAGATATGGTTACTTCCAGATAATTTGATGCCTGGAGAACCCAGGGAGCAGTTGGGCTGACAGAACCAAAAAACACCTATTTCTGAAAATGGGCACAAATGTGTAAGATGAGAGCATTTTTCTATATACCAAAAATGATTTCAAAGAATGAAAATAACGCTTACCCCTAGAGTAGAAGCCATGTAGTCCGAACAGATCTCTGCGAAGTCTCTCCCCATTACTCCATAGTAGAGGCCATAGAACAAGGACACGATGCCAAAATCCATGGAATCTCTAGCTTTGATTCTATTGAGAACAACAGCCAAGGGAAGTAAGAGTGGGCATCTTGGGGGGCGGGGGGCGGGTCTCGGGAAGGACTGCAGCTTGGAAAGTATTTCTTGCCATGGTATCTAACAGAACTTTGAGTGTACTTCCCCCCATTTGTTTGTTTAATGTTTCTTCTTTTTTAAAATGAATTTAAAATTCTCTTCATGCCTTTAAATTTTACCACTCAGGGCTAAGTGGACGAAATAATTCTTGAAAGAGTGTTTAACGTCTTCTTTGGACTGCAGTGCTGAAACAGGCCAACTCTAACCAGAGGTTCTCAAGCTTGGCTGTAGGTGGGAAAACCTGGGCAGCTTGTAAAGAACCTCCATCTGCAGGCTGTACCCTGGGCCAATTACATCAGCTTTCTAGAGGTGGGGCCCATACAACAATATTTTTGGAGGCTCTCCAGACAACGATGATTGCAGTGGGCAGCTAACATTATTAGGAACCTCTTTAACAGTGCAATGGTTCTCAGCCCTAACTGTATGTTAGGATTACGTGGGGGAGATTTAAAATATATACTAATACATGAGCCTATCTTCCAGGGCTCTAATTTAAGTGGCTTGGGGTGGGGTCTGGACAGTAGCTCAGGCTAAGAAGTTTGATCCCTGTGATCAAACTTAGATTTTATAGAATGCTTTCAAATACTTAATCTTACCTAAAAATATTGGAGATAGATATCATTAGCCCTACTTTGGTTTGAAAAAAGGAGACTTAGGAAAAATGATTGCTTAACCTGGTAATTGGTACTAGGAATCAAGCTCACATTTTGAGGTCATTTGTTACTATGCCATAGTTGCCATGTGTTAATAAAAAATTTTTTTCTTTGCAAGTTGGATATTTCAAATACACTAGGATTCTCTACAACAACCTCTATTTCTTTTTTTATTTTTAAATTTATTTTTAATTGGAGGATAATTGCTTTACAATGTTGTGTTGGTTTCTGCCATATAACAAAGATGAATCAGCCCCTTCCCCCCTCCCCCACCTTCTTTTTTTTAAAGGTAAAGGTTTCTTTAAAAAGTGGATGATTAGCTCCTGATGTAATATCTGGATCTTAATGATCATACTTTCTATTTGCTCCCTCTGTAAAAGAGTCTCTAATACTAGCAATGGAAGTAGGTGGATCTGACTGAGTCAGGAAGGAAGTGGAGAGAGGAGAGGAGTTGGTAGTCTCTCTCTCTCTGAAAAGTTCTACTGGTTGTTTTTTTACTCTGTTAATTTGAGGAGGAAATGGTAAAAGCTGTGTAGACCTGGAGGGCAGAGATCTTTTGGTGTTGTGAACTGGGAATTGCAACACAGTGGGTAGCTTCATCTGTCCAAGATCTGAAAATTGGGGCAGTGATGAAGAATGAAGATGACCTTCCCTCCATGCCCAGGGGAGCATGGATTTATAATCTAAGTGATAAAAAGTGGAGCAACAAAGTTGTAGTTCCACAGAAAAGAATCTCAATACAACTGTGCTCAATGACAATTAGTGGTGAAAAAAATAGTTCCTTCCCACCAGAGGGCTTCCCTGGTAGCTCAGCTGGTAAAGAATGTGCCCGCAATGTGGGAGACCTGGGCCCTGGGTTGGGAAGGTCCCCTGGAGAAGGGAAAGGCTACAAACTCCAGTATTCTGGCCTGGAGAATTCCATGGATAGAGGAGCCTGGCAGGCTACATACAGTCCATGGGTTCGCAAAGTCGGACACGACTGACGATTCTCACTTCATTTCCCATTTGAAGGGTTATGTTCTTCATACACCTCATTATAGGAGAATTCCTGGATAAGGATCTTAAAATCATACAGATAATAATTTGGGGGTAACTACAGTCCCAAGTGACTTCATAAAAGTACAAAAATATTTTACATACATTAAAGTAATATAGACAATATGCTGAAAGAATAATCAGTGTCTTTCTATAGCTTAAACAAATAATAATAGATCTTTTCAGTTATATTCTATCCCTTTCCTCCTAGGGAATGGCAGGAGTTCCCTCTCTGAAAATTGCATGAGATATCTATGAAATCAGATTGCTGTGTTGCCACAGGAAGAGCCCTCCCCCCAGGGCTGGGTCTCCATCCAGTTTTCTTCCTTGTTTTATGACTTATGGGTAGCTAACTTCTGCCTTTCAAATTTCTAAGGTTCCAGAGATTTAATTTTTTTTTTTTTGTCATGTGGCTTGTGGGATCTTAGTTCACTGACCAGAGATTGAACTTGCACCCCCAGCTTGGAGTCCCAACCACAGGGTCCCCAAGGAGGTCCCAGAGTTAGAGGAATTTTGACATGAGAGATATTCCAGGGATCTTCCTTTGAGCTGCTTTCCACGGCTGGTATGTCCACCGTCCACGGGGGTGTGTCTCGCGCTCCCCCTCCAACACACGGGCCGAGGACATGGCCTCCGCTCTGCCTGAGTGCCTCGCTCACGGCACATCTCAGTGGCCAGCTTCCCAGTGGGAACATGATTCTGAGTCACGGATATTATTATCCCAGTTTCCTTCGCTTCTCCCTAGACTTTCTTGCTCTGTTACTGCTTCACTTCTCTCTCAATGTCTAATTGCTCAGTTTCCTCTTTTACTAAATGCCTCCAGCAGAAGAGATTTAGAGCAGAAACAAAATTCTAGAGCAGTGCTGTCCAATGGAAATACAGATTGGACGTAATTAAAAATTTTCTTGTAGCCACAAATAAAAGGTAAAAAGAAACAGAAAAAATAATTTCACTAAAACATCCAGAGTACTGTCATCTCATGTAATCATAAAATTATTTTCTTATACTGTCTTTGAAACTCAATGTGTATTTTAGACTTACAGCACCTCTTATTTCATATTTTAAGTTACATGGGTTGGCAGCTACTGTATTGGATAGCATAGTTCTAGGGGTTTTAAAGAAGAAAGATATATAGAAGGATATGACACTTAAGAATTTTGTAGAAGGGAATTTTTAGTTCAATAAGAATTGCTCTAACAAATATAGGCCAACTTTTAATGGTGTTCTTCTCTTTAAAGCTTATAATTTTTAAAAAACTTTTAAGTCTGAGTGTCCTCTTCCTTTTGCTAGTCTCCTGCAGTGGCATCTATGATACCAATGATAGTACTATAAACAATGTGTCCCTGGAAAACTGCAGGGCGAAATGTGGCTTCCAGACACTGAGGACTTGACTGGGTTAATGCTACAAGTAAGTGCTCAGAGATACCAATATCTTAATTGGAGATACTTACCTGAAAAATAAATTGAATCCACACATTGTAAATATGATAGCCAAATAACCCACAACACCAAATGCATAGCTGAGCTTGTAGATTAGAAGAAACCATTTGTAAACCAATCTGTGGAGTGAAAAATGGGGAGAAGCACCAAACATGATATATTAGAAAATATTCTTTTTTAAATGTTGTTATAAGTCAGTCTTTAGTTTCTAAAATGCTATTCATTTTGCAATACACAGAACATGAATATATCATATCAGCTAAACTCCATGTAATCTAGAGTTTTAATACACAATCAACAAGCAATGTATAGACAGTGCTATCATGCACGTGTGTTTCTATGCATATATGCATATATAAATTCGCTGTGACTTACGTCCTCATGTAAAGGTGACCTTCAGGACTGGTTATTCTACAGGGGGCCCTGTCTACCTTCCCCTCTTCCTTTTCTCATTTGGCCCTAGATTGGCTTACAGTGGTTTTGGCAGGAGTCCCTTGGAGGCAAGCCAGAGATGGGAGATGTCCCGGGGAGTCTCCCGTCCCGCTCCCACTGCCCCGGCGCTCAGACGGCCTCTCACTGCCGCAGCCCCTGCCGCAGGCCTGGAGCGGAGCCCGGCAGACTTGCCTCCTGTGCTGCGTGGACGGGCCCTGTGTGTGTCCCGCGCTCCCCACGATGGCTTCAGGGCCTTTCCCTCCGCCCGCATGGGGAAGAGCGGGTGGGGATGCAGGCGAGGTTGGAGCTGATCTGGAGGAACCTGGGCTCTGTCTGCTTCCCTCACTCCAGGCAGTAAAAGCGCTTACTGCCGAAAGGCTGCCTCCTGCCTGGGAGAGCCTGGGCCGGGACGGGGCGCGGCTCCACCCCTGGTTCTGGGCAAGGGCCCCTTGGAAGACAGAGGGGTGGGAGGAGGGGGCCTGCAGGCCAGCCTTGGTGCCGAGGAGCAGGGGGGGTGAACCGCGGTCGGGCCCCCTGTTTGCCCTCGGCCCTTTCCCGCCTCCTTCTCTGGATCCCTGGATCCAGAGATCCTCCTTCTCTGGATCTCCTGCACATCACCCCAAACTTCATTCAGAATTTCCCTCCGGAGACAGGGCCCCACGCTTCACCTCTGACCCCTGGAGCCCTGTCCCCAAACCTCACCTTCCCTGGATTCCTCCCCGTTGGAGCCATTGCACCAAATGCTTATGTTCTATATTATTACTGAGGCAATGTTTCAGCGTTATTTTATTTACTTATGAAAATTTTTATTGAAGTATAGTTGACTTATGATATTATATTACTTTCAGGTGTACAACATAGTGATTTGATATTTCTATGTGTTAGGAAATCACCACCACTGTGAATCTAGTTACCATCTATTACCATACAGTTATTATGATTTTATCAACCATACAGGCAGACCTAGCTTTATCACACTTTGCAAACACTGCATTATTATTATTAAACGGAAGGTTTGTGTTAACCCTTTGTGGAGCAAGTCTGTAGGCACCACTTTTTCCAGCAGCATTTATTCACTTTGTGTCTCTGTGTCCCATTTTGGTAATTCTTAGAAGATTTCAGACTTTGGCGTTGTGATCATATTTGTTGTGGTGACCTGTGATCAGTGATCTTTGGTGTTACTATTATAACTGTTTTGGGGCACCACACACCACACCCAGGGAACGTGGCAAACGTGACTATGAATGTTATGTGTTCTGACTTCACCACTCTTGGTCTTTCGCCCACCTCTCTTCCTCTTCTCAGGCCTCCCTATTCCCTGGGGCACAGAAATATTGAAGTCAGGCCAGTTAATAATCCTACAGTGGCCCCATTGTTCAAGTGAAAGGAAGAGTTGCATCTCTCTCCCTTTAAATCAAAAGCTAGAAATGATTAAGCTTAGTGAGCAAGGCATGTCAAAAGCAGAAATTGGCTGAAAACTTAGGCCTCTTGCATCAGTGAGCCAAGTTATGGATGTGAAGGAAAGTGCTTGAAGGAAATGAAAAGTGCTGCTCCAGTGAATATACAAATGAAAGTGAAACAGTTTTACTGCTGATATGGAGAAAGTTGTAGTGGTCTGGACAGAAGATCAAACCAGCCGCAACATTCATTCTCTAAGCCAAAGTCTAATGCAGAGCAAGGCCCTAACTCTCTTCAATTCCCTGAAGGCTGAGAGGTGAGGAAGCTGCAGGGAAAAGTTTGAAGCTAGCAGAGGTTGGTTCATGAGACATAAGGAAAGACCTTGTCTCCGTAACAAAAGTGCAAGGTGAAGGAGATAGTGCTGATGTGGAAGCTGCAGAAAGCTGCGCAGAAGATCTAGCTAAGATAATTAACGATGGTGGCAGCAGGAAATAGGGGCTTCTTTAGTGGCTCTGTGGCAAAGAATCCACCTGCCAAGCAGGAGACAGGGGTTCAGTCCTTGGGTTGGGAACATCCCCTGGAGAAGGAAATGGGAATCCACTCCAGTATTCTTGTCTGGAAAATCCCATGGACAGAGGAGCCTGGTGGGCTACAGTCCATGGGGTCGCAAAGAGTCAGAAATGAATTAGTGACTAAACAACACTAAACAACAGATTTTCAGCATAGACAAAACAGCCTTCTATTGGAAGATGTCATCTAGGACTTTCATACTTAGACAGGGGAAGACAATGCCTGGCTTCAAAGCTTCAAATGACAGGCTGACTCTCTTGTTAGGGTCTAATGTGGCTGGTGACTTTCAGGAGAAGCCTAAGATTTGAATATTGTAGGGTCCTGAAGAATTATGCTCGGTCTACTCTGCTTTTGCTATATAAATGGAACAACAAAGCCCGGATGGCCGCTCATCTGTTTGCAACATGGCTTACTGAATGCTTACTAACCCTCAGGGAAAAAGATTCATAATACTGCTGCTCATTCACAATGCACCTGGCCATTCAAGAGCTCTGGTGGAGATGTAAAATGAGATGAGGGCTTTTATGCCTGTAACACAACATCCATTCTTCAGCCCATGAATCAAGGACCGATTTTGAATTTCAATTCTTATTAGTTAAGAAGTACATCTCATAAGGCTACAGCTGTCATAAATAGTGATTCCTCTGATGGATCTGGGCAAAGTAAATAAAAAGCCTTCTGGGAAGGATTCACCATTCTAGATGCCATTAAGAACACTTGTGATTCATGGGAAGAGGTCAGAATATCAACATTGACAGGGGTTTGGAAGAAGTTGACTCCATCCCTCATGAATGACTTGGAGGAATTTAAGCCTTTAGTGGAGGAAGGAGTTGCAGCTGTGGTGGAAATAGCAAGGCAGCAAGAATTCAAAGTGGAGCCTGAAGAACTGCTGCAGTCTCATGATAAAACAAAGGAGGAGTTGCTTCTTATGGGTAAGTAAAGGAAGTGGTTTATTGGGATGGAATCTCCTCCTGGTGAAGATGCTGTGAAGACTGTTGAAATAACAAAGGGTTTAGAATATTACATAAACTTAGTTGCTAAAGAAAGAGCAGGGTGTGAGAAGACTGACTCCGATTTTGAAAGGAGTTCTATGTGGGTAAAATGCTATCAAACAGCACCACATGCTACAGAGAGATCATTCATGATAAAAAGAGTCAATCAATGCAGCAGACTTCACTGTCTTATTTGAAGAAATTGCTGCAGCCACCCCGACATTCAGCGACCACCAATCTGATCAGTCAGCAGCCACCAACTTGGAGGCAAGACCTTCCACCAGGAATAAGATTACAACTCCTTGAAGGCTCAGGTGATGGCTAGCATTTTTTAACAACAGATATTTTAAAATAAAGACATGTACATAATTTCTTGGATATAATTCTGTCACACACTTAACAGGCTACAGTGTAGTATAAACATACATAGTATAAACTTTTATATGTACTGGGAAACCAAACAACTTGTGACTAGCTCTGTTGTGATGGTCACTTTATTGCAGTGGTCTGGAACCTGACCCAAAAGGTATGCCTATATATTACATCCCTGAAACTTCCTTTTTTTGTAACTTGATGTTTGTGCTTCTTAATCCCTTTCACCTATTTCATTCCCCCACTCCCTTCCCCTGTGGCAACATCTGTTTTGTTCTCTGTATCTCTGACTCTGTTTCTATTCATTCGTTTGTCTTTTTTTTATATTCCACATGTAAGTGGTGTATGATATTTGTCTTTGTCTGACTTCTAAACTTAGCATAACCTTCTGGTCCATCCATATCCTCAAGATATGCAAACTTTAGTTCTTTCAATGGCTGAGTAATATTCCATTTTACATATATACCCCGTCTTCTTCATCCATTAATCTATTAAGGAACACCTAGGCTGCTTCCATATTTTGGCTATTGTAAATAATGCTGCAATGAACAGGGGGGTGCACACATGTTTTTAAGTTGGTGTTTTTACCCAAGCCATACCCTAAAGAAGAACTGCTAGATGGTAAGGTAATTGTATTTGAACACTGTTTTTCATTGTTGTTGTTGTTGCTGTTTTTTAGGAATCTCCATTCTGTTTTCCATAGTGGCTCCAACAATTTACAGTCCCATCCGCAGGGCACAAAGGCTCCCTTTTCTTCACATTCTTGCCAGCACTAATTATTTCTTGTCTTTTTGATAACCACAGTTCTGACAGATGTGAGATAATATTTCATTGTGGTTTTGATTTCCATGTGATTTGATTTCCCTGGATGACTGATGAGCATCCTTCATGTGCCTGTTGGCCATTTGTATGCCTTCTTTGGGAAAATGTCTATTCAGGTCTTTGGCCCATTTTTACAATGAATTGTTTGGTTTTTTAATATAGAGTTGTATGAGTTCTTCATGTATTTGGAGATAAACCCCTTGTTGAACATATCATTTTCAAATATCTTCTCCCATTCAGTCAGTTACATTTTCATTTTTGTTGATGGTTTCTACTGCCATGTAAAAACTTTTTAGCTTGATGTGGTCCCTTTGTTTATTTTTGTTTTTGTTGTCCTTGCCTGAGAAGACAGATAAAAAAATATTGCACAGGCTGATGCCAAAAATTGTCCTGACTATGTTTTCTCCTAGGATTTTTATGGTTTCAGGTCTTACACTTAAGCCATCAATCCATTTTGAGTTTATTTTTGTATCTAGTATAAGAAAATGGTGTAGTTTCATTCTTTTATATGTAGCTGTCTGGTTTTCCCAACA